GATGGTTTAGGTCCAAAAGGACCGTCCAGCAACAGAGATATCAACAGCAATCCTGGAGCTCCAAGATGGCATGTTGTGTTGTAGTGATGTTTGCCCTGCCTTCTCTGAAGGCCAAGTTTTTTATGTGACTCAGGCCTTGAGGGTGCAATGATTTGTTCACTTTATATTTTAGGTTTTATGTTTTGTGTACATTCACTTGTTTAATTTTTCCAATAGTTTGGTGGTCTAATTTGAAAATGACCTCTTCCGTGTATTTGTATCTTTTCAGATGATCCTACAGCTTGGGCAGTACTCTTGGCTGCTTGCCAGGCAGAAAACACAATTGCTCATCTGCATCATAAGCAATCCAAGCAGACACATCTGGAAAAAATGATTGTCACTGCAATCTCAGCTAAGAGTAAGGCTGATTTTTTTTCTTAAAAACAACTGTTCTTACTGCTGTTTTTAACTGAAATGATCACTAATGAAAATATTGGTACACTGGGCTGCAGCAACGTCTATGCAGTATAGATAGAAAAACATGTTCTTTTAAGGATGATTATGGAAATTGTGCAAAACCTAGAGACCGTAGACCTGTAACTCTGATTAAACAATCATTGCAAACACTGTGGGAAAAGAAGCTGTATAATTTGGTTGACATGCTAGAGAAGGTCTGGCAGTAGAGTGTCAGAAGGTTAACATCCATGCATTGATTCGTAAAGGACCTGACTAGTCTCAGATGTTTTTTTTTACTAGAAAGGAAGACTATCTGACTTAGGGCCTTCTAGCTCTCACATAAGGTATGTGTGCCCAGTCACAATTACAATGCTGCAGCATCTTGCAGTCCCCTGTTAGCCATTTGTAACCTTCTTCCCCACTTTCTACCAGCTTAGTGAATGGAGAAGCTGACAGAAGTTTGTAAATAGCAATCACATAATGTTGCACTTAACAGCGGCATGGGATTAACTTAATGACAGCATCCAGAAGTGCTGGAATTTACATCACTAAGTGGTGTCACATTTTATGACTGCATTCTTAGCGACAGAAGTTCTAGTCTCAATTGTCACTGCTAACTAAAACCTGTACTTTCCTTTATTCAAAAGTATTTTGCAAATACAAAACTCCTATAACAAATGCCATTCTAATTAGACCCTTTCCATAGGTCACAAAAACATTTCTCTTTCAGTGAAAGAAACAACTTAATTACATAGTGAAAATGTAAGAGCTTAATTCATCCAATGATGATCCATCTTTCCTGATGATCAAGTATGTCAGTTGTTCATGTAACAAATTACATGACTACATCCTATCAATTGCTTTGGGAAATAGAAAGTTTACTCTTACAAATTAGAAAATTTACTCCTTTATATCATAAAGGCAGAATTTGTTTAATTTCTTCCCATTGTTGATTGTAGCAGCTAAATGCTTGAATCCAAAACTAAAAAAGGTCCTGGAGGGTTGGAACCTAAGGAGTAGAAAATAGTGTAAAATAGGGGACCTCAACTATTAACTTCCCAAACCAAAATCTCTCACCATGCTAAATGTTTTTGTAAAAACATAGATATAGTCATAGATATAATGTAAAAACAATTATTCTTACTGATATCAGAATAGCATACATTTTGTTATAAACACTTGGGTTTAATACATGGGATATTATGAAATAATGAACCTCATATGCTTTGTAGCTAAAGCCAAAGAACTTCCAGCTTCCAGAGCTCAAGAAATCGAAGAATGGTCTTTTTTCCAAGCTATTACTGGCTTAAATGAGGCAGGTAGAACTTCAGAAGCTGAGGCTCTCTGTGAAAAGGTATGATTAATGTTAAGATGACATGCTACCATTATTCAAATATAGGTAAAGTTACTCAAAAAGCCTGATCCAGAGAGTTAAAAATTATTTCAGATATTGTCCATATCAGAATATCTACGTGAAACCATTTGAAAAATGATGGTGAATATGCAGCAGTGACAGTACTGGTTTTGCTTACAGTGGAAAGGCTGAGATTAGCTTTAAATTTGTTTGTAAATATTAAAAAATATTTTGCCATTAGTTTACTAGTCTTCTGCATTCTTGCCTCTTCTCATTAGCTCATTAGATTCCTTTTGGGATTACTGTAAATTAAAAAGAAGCAGATGACAAGTTTAGTAAGGGGCAGTTGCTTCTAATGACATTTATAATATGTCCAATATGCTATTAGAGTTTTTTTGGTGGATTACAAGAAGTTCAAAGCATGAACCCAGTTTTAAAAATACCCAAACAAAACTGACAGCATAAATAAATAGCACCCCAAAAAATGAAAAGTAAGATATTGTAAAAGTCAGAAGTTAATTGAATTGCAATTATTCATACATCAATTGCCAGTAAAACTTGCTTTGCTGCATGAAACACGGAACCAGCATAACTGCTTGATCATAATGTGCTGAGAATCTTATTTTAAGCATCATGAAAATATTTTGATTTTACCAAATCGAAGTATAGAATTAATGGTTTCTTATCTCTCCTCTTTTTGCTCACTGATAACTGAAATAACTGGATTCTTTGACTTATTGAAATTGTGTTGCTAGAATAACAGCTCTGCTTTTGTTGTGAAGTGATTTTAATTATTTTATATGGAACTAAGAGTTTTTTTTGCCTCTAGGGCTTAAAAAAATTTCCTGAGCAGCCAATGTGGTACCTACTTTTAAGACAAGTTCAATGCAAACCACTTTTGCAGTCTCACAAAGAGCTTCCTGATGCCATTTTGGAAGAGCTCCGAAAGGCAGTTCTCTCCAACTCCACTTTGATTACAGCTTGGCATGTAAGTTTGTCTTCATTTATCCATGATTGGGTTCTCTTTATTATATTTCACAATACGGGGACTTCTTCATCTAGTACTGTGAATAGTCTTTCTGCTTTCTCTCCTGAAAGCCTGCTGAAAATTGGAAGGTAATATATTGTGTGAGCAGAGTGGACTTTAGATATCCCACCTCCGACTTTTGCATATACCATGCTATCAGTTTGGTTGAACATCCTTACATTTGAACACAACCCAGTGTGGCCAGATTAGGCATTGGAAGCTCATAGATAAGCATGCTTTTCAGCATAGATCTTTTCAGCAGGCATGTCTACCCATACATTGGGAATGTATTTCTGTGAGCATTGCAGTCAAGTATTATAATCAAAAGCTGCTGGTCTGTGCATTTTGCCAGTGTAGAAAATTTTAAAATCAGGCTGCTTAGTTGCCCTGTCGCTTTTAGCATCAAGACCCTAGAGTCAATAGAGGTTGACATAAATACGGTCAATAATTCTTAATCTTGCATCAACACACTGGCAGTTGCTGGCTTCTCCAGATGATTTTTAGAATCCAAGTAGTCTTTGCATTGTTGTCTTTAATGCCATTCGTCTGCTCTTAAATGTACTTGATGTTTTGCCCAGAAAATAAGACTCTTTCATTACTGGAAACAAAAGATGTTTTGACATATGTCCAAGAAATAAAAGAACAAAGAAAAAGCTAGGCAATGAATTGTTGTCTCAGTTTTTCTGGATGAGACAAAGTGTGGATAATTGATCTGCCAATACTTGAGGACAGTAAAATAGAATTGGAGAATATCACAAAGTAAAATCGAAATCTAAAGATTATTGGCTGTGGTGGTCCAGTGGTTATTGGATGGCACTTAGAAAATCTGTGTATTGACAAAANGTTTGTGAGTTTAGATAGGAAGGAAATCCCAGATTGGCCTGACATGGGGTATTTTACCTTTCACATTCACACAAAAGAAAGTGGGGCAAAAATAGGGTCAAAATACTATCTGCCTGACTTTTGATCCTTTAGGATTTAGTTCATAGTTGAGTATAGGTGAGAATGAAATATGCATGAGTTGGTTACTGCACTTGCCTTCTCTTCCACAACTCCAGCACTATCAGATTTCTTTTCAAGGCTGATGGGAGCATGAATAAAATCAAGCTTTGGGCTGAGATTAATTTGTTCCCTTTTGCTATCTTTTTCATGAGGTGAATTTGGATATATGATACTATTACATTAAAAAAGAAAAGAAAAATAACCTACCACGTATTTGCATTTGTAAATCATGAAAACATTTCATTCATTATCTCACTTTTCAATGAATGGTGATATACTTTAATACAATAGTAGATTGCAAAGCTATTGCCAAATTACCAAGCTATCTGTTAATATGACTTTACTGCCTCCAATTTTTATTAGTCAACCATTTATTAAACTCCCCCCCCCCCTTGGGATGTTTTGTAGCTTTTATAGTCAGGTATGTCAAATAGTGTTTTCTGAAAGAAACTGTTCTGTGGAAGAGAATTCCTAGGGGAAATTATTTGACTAGTTATTTGTCTATATATAAGCAGAAACTAAATTTGAATATTACTATTGTTAGTCCTGGATCATAAATGTCACTGGTGTAAACAGATTCAAAGAATAGTAATTGCCATACTCAGCAAAATAAATCTGTACTCTGCATGGTTTCTTAGGACTAAACATTCATCTAAACAGGAAAACCTGTTCTTATTGAGTCAGACATTGATCAGAGAACTTCAGAAGGATCTTCGCCACGGGGGAGCCAATCTATAAAGCCTGCTGAGCATGGAGGTGGAACTGATTTCTTTCAACCAGGGATATAAGCCCAAATGTAGGATCTTCTAAATGCAGAACAAGCTCCCCACCCCCACCCCCGAGCATTTGGCAATGCTTCATAAACATAAAGGTTTTCAGGTATAAGGTAGCATTTTGAATTATAAATATTGTGCCGAGTAAGCGACAGACTCTTCATATTATACTTTAAGGCGATGGTCTTTGGAGTAATAAATTTTCTGTGTTGCATTTACAGTTCTATATTACAGGAGCCTAACATGGAAAGCCTGCAAGCCTTATGCAGTTTAGGGCTGATCAAGCAGGATGCCACACTTGCAACCGCAGCACTTAAAGAACTGTTAAAGCACCCAGGGAAAAAAGACAATGTTTATAAGAGGTGCCTTCTTGCATCTGCTGTCTATGCATTACAAGGCAGACATCTGGCTGTTCAAAGACAAGTTTCTAAAGCTGTCCACAGGTATGTGAACTATAAATTAAGCAACATTACTTTTGCTTATTGCCCATTCCCCAAAGAAAGGTACTGTGTTGAAATCCTCTTGAGTTTTACTCGCAAAAGCTGCCCTGTGGGTTTCACTCTTTGAACTATGGCAAAGTAGAGATTTGCAGTTTGAGATATCTTCAGAAAAAAAATAGATGTAATTAGATGACTAGTCTCCCCTTCTGATAGGATAAAAATCAACTAATATGAAGTATTTTTCACACTGATTCTATTATTTAGGGGAAACTATTAACATTTTCAGTTTAGGTAAGGTAAGACTATTAACATAAAATGGAAGTCAGGATGTTTAAACAAGACACTGCCTGCTGATATTCTCTGTTAAGTGATTTATGTTAAATGTAATAACATTTGCAGGTACTTCTTAGGTTATGATGGGAACTGGGACTGGAATTTCCTTCACTAAGCAATGTGGTTGTAAAGCATGAAGTCATGTAACGGCAGTCCTGGTTGCTATCGTAACTCCACTAAGTAAAGCAAAGCAGGAAGAGGTGGAAGTATCAGGCAAGCAGGTTGGGGGGTAAGAGCTACAGGCAGGTATAGCAGGTGGGCACTATGGATTGTGAGTGGATACAAAGTGTGGAAAAGCAAGCAAGGTTTGTGAGTAGTGGGGATACTGCGAGTGGGCACTACAGTGTGTGTGGGTGGGTATGGCAGCTTCCCTATTGACTTGAAAGCTGGTAGGGAAGGTTGCAGCAAATAGTGACCATAAGATCTTGGGATGCTGCAACTGTCCTAATGGCAAGCCAGTTTCCCATCACCTGAATCATGAACATGTAATAGTGACAATGCTTCAGTTGTGTGAGTCTCTTCAATCAGTGCCATCATAATTTTGCATAGTCGCTGAATAAGTGGGTACAGCCTGAGAACTGCATGTAAATGAATTTAGAAGCAACTGATTTGTCATATCAATTATATTGAGTTAAATTACTGAGAATATAGTTGCAACGTTCAAAATTGGGAAGCTCACTAGTATCTAACAGATTTTTATAGCCAAACTAAACACCCAGGTGGACATAGACTTTATGGCCTCATTGGGTTTCATTGATGATATCAGATATGAATATCAGTTTTCAGATTAGCAAAAGTTACTTGCTCCACATTATTTTAAATAATGTGAAACTAGAATCTAGTTTGAATTGAACGACGGAGGGTTTAAAAATGCAGTTCATCTAGCAATATTATTTTGAAATTTAAATCTATTTAACCCATTTATTGTTTTTTCAGTTGGTTCTAATTAATATATATTTTCACAAATCTTTTCAAAGATACTACTTTACTATATTAAAAGGACTATAAGCATAAGTTAGAAGCATCTGTATTTACTTTACTATATTAAAAGTTAGAAGCATCTGTATTAGAAACAGTTATATCGAAAGTATATTTCATAATTTTAGTCTGTGTTGATAGATTCTACTATATAGAGAATTGTGACTTTAACTCTGCCATGGTCTCTTACCTAAGCAACCCCGATAACCCTGCCCTCTGGTCCCTGCTGTCAAGACTGGTCCCTCGGTACGTGCCACAAAATGCCAAGGTAAATATGCATAGATGAGAGTGCACTACATACATGCTGAATTACAGATTTATTAAATGAGCACATGGTAATAAAAGGAGTTTTCAAAATTAGCATCAACATTAGAGTTCAATCATTTTGACAAGCAGATATGTTCAACATGTTCTACTTGTCAATTGTCATATTATTTTTTAAAAAAACATAAAAGATAACCACCAACATAGCAGCTTGCTTAGTTGTACCCTTTTGTTCACATACACGCACAGACGCAAGTCATTATTGTTACCTGCTAAATGAAAGGTTCTTTGAAAAGAAATGGAGGAAGGTAGGTTGACAACGCTCTCAGAAGACTGCCCTGTGAAACCTGTTCTTAGCTTTCCATAGGCTCATTATCATCAGTTGCCCAGTGCGAAGAATCCTGCCAGCTGTTCTGCAGGATTTTTTTTTCTTTTGCAGTAATATTTATTGCATTTTTATTTACAATGTTTTACATTACTTTTAAGCTCCTTTTGGCGGACAGATATCCTGAAAGTTGGGTAAAAGATGTAATAAGTAAATATTATGAGCTAAACAAATCGTGACAGTGGGTCCTTCCACAATTATGTGAGGGGTGTTAATGAGAAAAGATTGAGGTCTATTGAAAATGCTAGAATCTGGCACAATCTCAGAAGTTCTCTTTAACTGAAATTTATGTATGCTGATTCATGGAACTCTTTAGTAAATAGCAGATGTGCTGGTGGAAAAGATAATTTATAGTAGGGCTATAATAGGGAATATAGTAGGGCTATAATAGGGAATACTTGTTTTTTAAAAAGCACATTCTCTTCTATTTGTGATGGAAGTTACAATCCTCTGCGAGTATTGCTTCCTTGCATAATGTAGTTTTGTTTTTTTCCTGGAATATATGTCCATTTTGTAGTTCCTGCAAAATTTATTTTGTCTTTGTCACCACTTTCTTAAGGGCTAAGGTTAAATAATGAGCTCTTCTCACTAGACAAATACATGTTAATTCAGCTGTTAAGTACTTTTTTTTTTCCTAATGTACTATTGGTACCAATACTTAGGCCCTGACCAGTTCGCCAACCAGTTCACCCTCCTCCCCATACCATCAGAAATAGAACGGATTTTTTTCCTTCCTTGAAAAAAAACCTTTATTTTTCCAATGGATTAAAAAAAGGCAACTATCTGCTACTATTTTCTTGAACTTCATTACTAGTTTTGCTTTTTATGGTAAAGAAAAATGTAAACTATCTCCTCCCATCAGCTACTGCAAATAGCCATTCAGGAAAGGAAAACAGGTGATTCTACCAATGGGAAAAACTTCAACCAGTTGTAAATCATCTGCTGCAAAATTATGTATAATGTTAACTTCATCACCTATGAAATCACTGAGGATAAAAAATCCACCCGAACTCCCATGGAGTCATAGGGATCAGTGAGTGGGATTAAGTTTTGCCTCTTAAAAGATCTTAGTTCCCTCTCAGTGCCACTACTTTCGATTCAGATTTATCCTATGTTAACAAACAAATACAAAGGAAAAGATAAAAGATGGCTTCATTTTTAAATCTGTGTATTTAACCATTTTTGCCAAATGCAGCAGGATTATTCTGATGTACTGTTAGTTTTGTTTTACTGCTAATATTCTGAAATGTCATTCTTAATCAATGTTTGCTCTTATAGGGTGGAGCTGTGGCAGGAAATATTGCTTGTATTCTTGATCTAAATCATGGGAAGGTTAGTGTTTTTGATGTTGAAAATATGATCACCTTGGAGCAATACTTTCTGTTTAAGAAAGTCAAAATTAGCATTTGCTCTGTATTCTTTTGTTCAGAAAGCCTTGCTGAATACCGCAGTTAATCAACTGGCCACAGGATGTCACAAAGCTGAAAACAAAAAGAATATTCTAAAAGCAGTTCATCTTTCTCCAGGTGATACTTATATTTAAGCTACTAATAATAAGCTACTAGAGCTACTAATTCTTACTCTAAATTTGACCTGTACCCAGAATCTTTTCAAGAATATATTTTAACAAGTGATTGATAGATTCAAGACAAAAAAGACAAATGACATACTAATTTATTTCTTTATTGATTATATTCGTATTTTCTCTAGCAGCTCATGACAGCAGCTATAGTATATGTTTTCCAGTTTTATTCTCCCAATAATCTTGTGCAGCTTGTTGTATTATAAGATGACTGCCAGAAGTCACCCAGTGCACTTTGTGATTGAATGGGATCATTTGCCTGCATTTCTCCAGTCCTAGTTCATCACTCTGAGCACTAGAGACCTAAACAATAATAAGCATCTAAGAACCAAGTTTTTATATATATATAT